GGCCGAATTCCGAATCTCGTTCGGTGTTGACGATTTGATGACTAGGGCTCGGCTGGAGATCGCACCATGGAGGATTCTGGCGAGCGACAGGCTTCCAAATGTTGAGAGTTTTTACCAGTTTCGGAATTCTTGACACTACCAAAATCGTTCGGTTCAAAAGTGGAGACACGCTTGCAAATGTGTGGGAAATTATGCACATGGTCAACTACATGTGTTGGTGGAGATATGAAAATTGTAGGAGGAAATTCGGGGAATTCTCGTCGGTTTCGCGACACTCCTACGACAATTCTTTTATAAGCTGCTAAAATAAGTGAGCAAGCTCCTGAGATCAGCGGACATATATTCCAACACTGAACAAGCCCGAGCGGAGTCGATGACGTGGTGCAAATGGTGATGATTGGCTATACCGATATTTGGGATCTCAAAATGTGGTACCTACTGGAGCTCTCTCAGTGGCTACGAAATTTAACATGTCTAATACCGCTCCTTCCTCACTTCCTGATCAAGATACGGTCGGTCGAAGAATCGGGCAGTCTTCGACTCAACTCGTAACACTACGGTCTCGAGCTCTTTGGCATCTCCTCTTTTCTAGGTTGCCATGCCTCGCGAATTCGCCGAGCCAGAGTACAACAACTCGTCGCTGGTGACTGCACAAGGCGCTAAGCTGGCTGGTTACAGTGCCAAGGAGATAGCGTTTCTGAGGAAGCCCCAAAAGGCATTCCAACTGGGGAGGATACCCGCTAAAGCACTGTAGTGATCGATTAACGTTTCTGTGGAAACAGAACTATACACGTCTCGTATGTAAAGATTATATGAATAACCAGTGAAACCGAAGATTTTCCCATACCGCGAGAACTGGTTGAACCTCGATGGGACATCATATTGCACCTCTTCTCGGCTTTGTACATACGATACAGGGTGTAGTTTTTTATTTCGGTGGAAACAGAACTATACGCGTCCATAACGCATAATACTAGTCGTTAGGGTAATGTTGACAAACACATGAACAATCGCGAAGCGAAATGCAGAAAATGCACTACTAACGTACTGATATTGGAGGATTGAAGAATTGTGACCATAAAAGTAGGATGGAAAATCTGGTATTATTTCAACCTCGTATTTGTTCAACGCGGCTTAAATGTCCATACACCGGGGGGGAGGCCAAACTGTATATTGCTTAGGGTGGAGGACGACTACGTGGCAGCTGCATCGTACATCATCGAGAGGGACTACTACCCGGATTTAAAAAGGCTCAGATTGCAGGAGGAAATTGTGAATGCTGAAAGGGAGGGAAAGGGCAGAGACCAACAAGTAATTTACAATATATTTTCTGTCATATTTTTGATACCGTAAATTGCGCTATTTGTTATGTCTGGGTGAGAGATGTATTGAGTAGTGTATCACATATAACAACAATAATGTATTGATGGAGTTTCGCCCGTTTTACGTGAAGTGGCGTCGTAAAACTCACACGGTAAAAACACGGTGGTCGCGGTGAAGTGCAGTAGTCGTGAAATATGTTCTCCACCAGTATTTTTCATATCACTAGTGTGAAACTCCAACGAAATATAATATAAACAGTCGATATGATGGAGTTTCACCCTAGTGATATGAAAAACATTAGTGAAAAATATTTTCCACGACTACTGCATATCACCGTGAATATCGCGTTTTTCACAGAGTATTACGCCACTTCACGTAAAACGGGTTGTGAAACTCCAACATAATCATATGTGAAAGATATATCTATTATTCTATGCCAAAGTATGGATAGAGTAATTCTTTGGGGTATTAAAATAATCGCCAATCTATGTATATCGATACTGAAATTGATGTGGTCTTCAGATCATAGCGCTTCGGCAAGAGCTCGCTAGGTTGACCCCGATCACTCCTGGGATTAACGCTCGCAATGTGGCTATGAATTACACACCTGGAGCTCCCCGACGGAGGGAGGGTAGTGAGTTGAATTTCGTGGCGCGCGGTAATTTTTGAAGAACTAGGTGAGGTTAGAAGAGCCCTGCCTGGCGAAATTGATGGTTCATCATCGTCGTCATCGGCGTCCTCGGGAGTTGGCAGTCACTTTTGCACTGGACAGGAGATAGTCGATTTAACCGGGCGAAGGTATCTTAGGTTGCTCTTGGTAGGATACGGATGTTTTCCGCAGTATCGACGCCACCACCAAGGAGTTGGTGGACATGTCCTTAGCGAGTGGGAAAGGAGTTGTGGTTGACCTTGGCGTGCGCTTGGATCAGTTCCATGCGAGGTAGTATGGGGAAAGTACTTTGCTGGGTATGGGATATCAGATTGTGCTCGTCAATGTAAGGTTTACTAGGGCTTCATGAGGAAAGGCGGAGCTCGCTTAATTCGCATCTTATGGTTCGAAAGCGGAGAGATAATGATTGCTTGGTCATTTGGTAGCCATAGGTCTCGAATATCGCACCAAACTCTACTCTGGAATAAGGTCTCAGGTTCGATCCTCGGGTCGGGCATTTTTCCGTCAAAAAAATTTTCCTCACATATTTCTTGAAGCTGAGGGCGTACTCGAGTTTTTCGATTTTTCTGCTAACCTCGGAGCAGAGAGAACTCGTCTGATCCATCTGGTGCCCTCGGACGCTTGGTAGCTGAGTCGAAATGATTCTGCACGCATGCACAACGCGAAAGTGCCTGTTGTTGCGGTATTTGCTCCGCTCGCTCCGCAATTTTTCGTTAATTCCCACATTTATTTACCGAATTTTTTTATTCGCATCTCGGGCCTGATTTGTATCTTTTTATCATCGACCTAAGATACGGTTCGGAGGACAATGCGGCGTTCCAGACAGCGTACGAGGAACATCTCAGCAAAAAGAGGGAGGAACAAAGCTGGATAGAAGACCAGGCTAACTCCCATAATGTACGTTTTTACACGTGCGAAAAATTCCGCTGCCAATATATTTCATTGTGGTTTTGATTCGCCGAATTTATTGAATGGGTTTGATTTTTTCCAAATTTTTGCTGTGAAAAAACCAAAAAAAGGAAATTGATCACAATTTTCCTCAGGCGATGTTGGCCGATAAGCGCGAGGCAGCGGCACTTGGGGAGAAAGTTGAAGGAGTTGCACTCGCTTTGAACTCGTCAGCAGCAGTAGCACGTACGTTGAGGAAATGCAAGATTAG